CACAAATGTCAGAGCATGTCAAAACATCCAAAGGGCCCCAAAAACACTCTGGTCCCCAGAGGGTTAAATTGCTGCTTTTCCATAATATATAGAAAGACAAACACACATCAAATAGACAGATACGATTTCACATAGAGCGCTTGTGAAGACACAGAAGCTAGTGTTTGTTCGGTCCAGGGGTGCTTTATAGGTTCCTGGTCAATGACGTCACCCGCCTAGGACGTCCCGTCACGCCATTGGACTGATTTCACGAGTGCTTCATGACGCAATCACGCAGGGGCGTTCCCGCAGCGCTATACGCAGCGTTGAGTTCCCTTGAAAGGGAACCCTAATCCTAACCGTATAACTCTAGTATAGTTATTTAATATTACTCTGTACTCATTTGAGTAAGTACAATTTAACTGTCACATTCAAACAAATCGTAACCGATTTTTTTGAGCTTTGGAAAAGTATTTCAACTAAAGAAAGAAAATACTTAATTGCAAGCATTTTAAACTGTGACATTCACAAAAGAAATGTAAAATGATTGCATTCCCTATGTGAACAAAAGCATATAAAAAGTTTGCTAATTTGAGTCCAATTCACACTATTAACATTGCTAATTAGCATGCATATTACTATATTGGCTGTTTAGTAGCATACACATATTATTGCTTTATTCTGCATGACCATATTCTACATCCCTTAATCCTACCCAATATCTATAAACTTAACAACTATACCTACTAACTATTAATAAGCAGTAATTAGGAGTTTATTGATGCATAAGTCATACTTAATAGTGAGAATCTGACCCTAATCTAAAGTGTGACCCCAAACAATGTTTTCTTATACCTCTTGTCTAACTATAACCACCTCAGACAAGCACTCAGAACAGGAACACGAAACAAAAGTTAAAAAACTGTCTAACACATTAGTTTTTTTCCATTATTATTTTAATTTATTTCTGGTTCTATTCAATTCTATTTTGTACATTTTATTAAATGCATTTTTATTGCCAAAATCTATAGTTTGATATAATTGTTTCCATATAGAATTTCATAATTTGCTGTAGCCTACTGTTCATTGAAAAGCCTAAAAAGATGGCTATTTAATGGCAGGTTTTGATAAGGTTTTTGAGGCATGGGGGTTGTATGTCAGTTCAGTACAATTTATTTGCACAATTTATAGTGCTTTTCACAATACATTGTTTATAGCTTAACAAAGACAAGTGCCTTTAAAAAAACAGCAAACAAGGGACAGTGGTAATTTTAAATATTTTGTAGAGTTGTACTGTAGTGCCCTACAAAGAAACTAAGTTTCAAAAATAGACCTCAAAAAAGCTGGTGAGTTTTATATCACACTTTAGATCGCATATGTATGTGCCTGAGAGAAACCTCATGATAGTTCAGTTTAGCAAAACATTTCCTGCACTGGAAATTTACTGATCGTGCAAACCAAGACTAAAAATATTTTTTTTTACGTTTTTAAACATGTTTTATTTTATTAATGCAAGATAACTTAAAATGGGGTTATCAGAGCTGTTTAAACCATGAACAAACAGATTAAAAAATATATGATTTCTTTCTTATGAGTTAGATTTTTAGAAATTTGTTCAAACATCTAAATGTAATTTAACACTGCAAAAATAATTAGTGCTAGATAGTACAGTATCTCTCTGCATGGACATTTTGTTTAAAATTCATGTGCTGGTTGTTTTCTGTGACAGGCAGATTTCTGAATATTGCACCGCCCATTAACATTTACTGTCTAGTTGTTTCTTCAAACTCTTCAGAGTGCATCATTGTATCTGAGGCACTGAAAAGAATCATCATGCCACTTAAACCTTTTAAAATCTTTATATTGATGTGTGGATTTTGTTCCCGATTCTATGCTATCGGTGAGTCTCACTTTGACCAATTGATCATCAAAAGGAAAAATATTCTGTCAAGATATTTTAACTCTTCTGTCTTTTGCTGTGTTTTAATTTATTTTATCCTATACAACATACACTAATTAGTAATTGATAAACTATAGAATGATTTAATAATGTTCAAACTATTTAAAATAATTTTAAACGTGATCATTTATACAGTACAGTAATCTGTAGGTTTCATAATCTCCATTTTAATCAAATTCAAATTAAATATCTATTTAAAGTTGTATATAACGGTTTAATTAAAAATGAAAAATGTTAGTCCAGAAATGTCACTCAAACACTCTCACAGGCACATAAATCTACTGGAGTTGAACATTACACGACAGCAGATACTTAAACATTCTGTGTGTCAACGTCAGTGATCAACAACCTGACAATCCAAAACAATATACACAGAAACAGTATATATCCTCTCTTTGTTCAAATGTTTTGAAAACACTGGTGAACACAAATTGTATTTGTGCAAAATCCTCAGCTGATGTACTAGCAAAGTTTGTTGGTTTTGTCTTGCATGGTTTCTTATATGTAACTGTAATTGTTTTTCATTCTACAAAGCATATCCACCTATTCAAACTGCCCAAAAGGAAGGTTGGTTGATTTTCCATACAGCAAAAATATTTTAAAAGTAACAGTAAATGTAGTTATAAATGTAAGAAAGATATACAACATTTCTCACAATCGGTTCTAATACTCTTCCAAAGTTCTGCGTGGTGGTGATGTGTCTTTGCGATGCGAGGTCTCTTTCCTGTCTGAATCCTCAACATTGCAGTGGGAGAGAGATGGAGAACAAACATCCAACACCACTCTACTGTACAACAACTCTGCCTACATCATCTTACACACCGTTGATGAACACAATCAGGGCAAATATTACTGTAGATTGATGGAAGATGGAAGAGTAGCAACGGTTAGGATTCACACGCTTAATCTCAGTTCAAGTAAGTATATTTTATATTCAATCTGTGGTGTATGCCTGAATAATAATGATCTAAAATATTTGACATTAAGAATACTGTAAGTTAATTGAATACTTATACAGTTGTGGCCAGAATTATTGGCACCCCCATGGTAAATATGATAAAAGATGGCTGTAAAATAAATCTGCATTGTTTATCCTTTTGATCTTTCACAAAAAAATCTAACCTTTCATTGAAGTAAAAGAATTGAAAGTGGGGTGTAAATCACATTATGAAATAAATGCTTTTCTCTAAAACACGTTGGCCATAATTATTGGCCCCATTTTATTAAAGCTGCAGTCCGCAGTTTTTCCTCTTTGTCGCCATCTCTGTTCGAAATCTGCAATTGCCGTTATTCGCGGAATTATCAACTTTACGTGAGTCGTACTTCGACACGACACAGCGCGGATGAACACAATGTTTGAGGAGAGTGTGAGGCTGGCTGGATACTGGCATTCAGAATCACAGATTATTCTTTTTGGAAGTATGACCAACATAAGGATTTTCACCGGAAAAAGTAACATCCACTTTTGTTCTGGTTCTGACATTGCAGTAAATCGCGCTGATTAAATCCAACAATCGCTTATCATATCACGCAAAACCGAGAAAATTATACTTTGTTCTCAAATTGTTAATGTTAACAACGTCAGCATTGCGTGACTACAGGTAATGTCCTTTCGATATGTAGCCTATCCTTGTTTTCGCATGGGCCGGTTGCAGTCTCTTTTTTTCTGTAGCCACTCCGAAGTCCGAACGAAGTCTTTTGCATTTTACAACGGGTGAATCTCTAGTTGTCACTGGTGATCGTCGTTTGAACCTTTCTGGATCCGCCATCAAATTGATAAGTTTAATTATATCAAGTGCTGTGAGAAAAGGCTATAAATCTCCACCTCTAACATCCTCACTCGCAATATAGCCTACTAGCCGAGACTCCTTCTTTATGTGTACAGATGTGACGTAATGACGCAAAGACATGCTCGAATCTCCCGCGGAAATCCACCAGTACCACTGGAATTAAAAACATTATTACAAGCTTACCGCTTTGAATCGAGCTAAAGCAAGCAGATAGTTTTGAACACTGGCTGGTTATGTATTTTCTCAAAAATGTATTTTGGATAAATTTTAACCCGAAAAAAGCTACGGACTGCAGCTTTAAATACTTTTTGCAACCTCCTTTTGCCAAGATAACAGCTCTGAGTCTTCTCCTATAATGCCTGGTGAGTTTGGAGAACACCTGACAAGAGATCAGAGACCATTCCTCCATACATAACCTCTCCAGATCCTTCAGATTCCCAGATCCATGTTGCTGCTTCTTCTCTTTAGTTCACCCCACTCATTTTCTATAGGGTTATGGGAATTTGGCCTTTGTGTTTCCTCATATTTATACTCCTGTGCAACAATAATGTCATGCTCCTAGCCAGTTTTGTGAATGAAAGATCAAAAGGATAAACAATGCAGATTTATTTTTACAGCATCTTTGATCATATTTACCAGGGGTGCCAATAATTCTGGCCACAACTGTAATTAACAATGTGCAAAAGTATTTATTTTTTATTTTTTTAAAGCTTAATTTCCAAAGACATGTTTAAAACAGACATTTATACTAACTGAGATGTATTCGCTGAAATTCATGTTACCTATTTTCTTTGCAGATTCATACAATGGAAATAATAAATTTAAATTTAATACCATTTACAGACACAGCTCTAATAATAGTGACGTATCACTGATCTGCAAGTCTAAAAAGGAATTCAATAGCTGGAAGTGGACCTGGGAGCCGAGGCCTAATTCACAGACTGATCTGATAGCAGTTGAACAAGGAAGAGAAGTTCAAGTTAAAGGACCAATTAAACCAGGAAGACTTTCTTCAACCACATACAATAGTCAAGTTTTTATCTTTCACATCTCACCTGTGAACTTCAATTATAGTGGGACATACAGGTGTATTGCAAAAGATATAAATACTCCATATACAACCACAATGCTTCACACCATCAGAGGTTTGCAAATATCAATCAATCAATCAATCAATACAAATAAATACATTGATTTTTTCAGCTACATTTTGCTCATCAGTTCATTGTTCAGTGCATTTAAAAAGTAATTGATGTTGTTGTTGATTTCAGTCTCAGTAGAGCCCTCTGATGGTGTGTTGGGGAAAAGGTCAGTGATTCTCACCTGTGAAGTTTCTGAAGTGACTGATTCAGTGATGCTGGTCTGGCTCAGGATGGAGGGGAATAGAGGAGTGCTGGGAAAACAGCAAATTATGACTGAGAAAAACAACAAGTTACAACTCACAGTGAATCTGTCCAGCAATGAAACAGACCCGCTGCACTGGCAGTGTGCAGTTTTTACTGAGGATACACTCAGAGCTCTGGCTCCTATAACAATCAGTCTTTCCTCATCATCAGGAACTCCAACTGTAACAAACCAAAGTAATATCTTTTTACCATAACTTTACAGTATTTTTTCACCCTTAACTCAGAATTATATTGTATATTTTAAGCGTATATACAAATAGTGATTAGTGTAGTCATGACGCTGAGCAGTGTTGGTGTATTATCTGACTCCACATGTTTCTGCAGAAGATATCATGACACAGGAAAGTCATCTACAGATCGTGATCATCGTGGTGTGTGCTGTCACTGGCACTGTGCTGATTCTGCTGCTGGGACTTCTAGTTTTTAAACGTCAGCGAAAAACAGGTGAGCTGATCTCAGAGACCGTGTGAGGAGGAGAAGATGCTCCATAGAAAAAAATAGAGGGGCAAATTGTTACTCTCAATGTGGCAGTTGAATAATTGTTGTGACTTTCAGTTAAAAAAGCTAACTGCCTTTTCACAGAGAGATTTACTATTTTTTTGTCTATAGGGATGCTTATTAGCTGGATAAGCCTGACAGACACAGTTTTCAGGTTTTGCTCTGTCTCCATTAGATAGGAGCTCATGTCTCCTATCTCCTATCAAGTAGATAGGAGCTGTACTTGTATACTGTACCTTTTTTTTTGCATACATAGAAAATAGTTAATAAAATGGCTGCTAAATCAATTGGCTTGTCTTAAAGAGATATTAGCTTATCTGCACATTAATATTGCTCTGTGTGTTCTTTACAATGACAAATCTATGCTAAATCTGTGACTATTTTCCAGGAGACGACAGCAGGTTTAAAACCAATAATGCAAGTTCAGAGGTCAGCTGAAAACATGTTCTTTCATAAACATTTTAGAATGTCATTTTGATTGACTAATGATACATGTGTTATATTTGTTTGTGATTTACAGTAAAAGTACACTCTTTAAGCTTGTATATCTCAATATCTACAGGATATGTTGGACTTTACTACAGTCATCTATTCAGCTAGTACAGCACAATGAGCCTTCACACTGGAAATTAATGTACAGAAACTTGTATTTCTTTTTTTTAATTATCATCATTGAATGGAATCGAAGACATCAAATGAATTTTAATAATAACAAGCTAGTCATGTGGTATAATAGGAATGAATTAAGAGTAATAAATCTTGTTCTGCTCAAGTGAGATTGTGAGTGTGCTCTATCTGTAAGTAAAGGGTCGTTGGGTTTATTTTCATAGGAAAAAACAAATACCACGAACATCATCTGAGTATAATCAGATTTGAATCAATATGTTTGTATACCAGAAAGAAACCTTCATGTGGTTTCATGACACACAACTCTGCTAAAGCAACGTATTTCCTGGAATGGAAAAAGTGAAGATGTTTTGGTAACACTTTATTTGAAGGTGACGTAGTTACACGTTACTATACATTACAGTAAATTATGCATAATTGATTAAAGTAACTAACCCTAAACCAAACCCTAATCCTAACCGTATAACTCTAGTATAGTTATTTAATATTACTCTGTACTCATTTGAGTAAGTACAATTTAACTGTCACATTCAAACAAATCGTAACCGATTTTTTTGAGCTTTGGAAAAGTATTTCAACTAAAGAAAGAAAATACTTAATTGCAAGCATTTTAAACTGTGACATTCACAAAAGAAATGTAAAATGATTGCATTCCCTATGTGAACAAAAGCATATAAAAAGTTTGCTAATTTGAGTCCAATTCACACTATTAACATTGCTAATTAGCATGCATATTACTATATTGGCTGTTTAGTAGCATACACATATTATTGCTTTATTCTGCATGACCATATTCTACATCCCTTAATCCTACCCAATATCTATAAACTTAACAACTATACCTACTAACTATTAATAAGCAGTAATTAGGAGTTTATTGATGCATAAGTCATACTTAATAGTGAGAATCTGACCCTAATCTAAAGTGTGACCCCAAACAATGTTTTCTTATACCTCTTGTCTAACTATAACCACCTCAGACAAGCACTCAGAACAGGAACACGAAACAAAAGTTAAAAAACTGTCTAACACATTAGTTTTTTTCCATTATTATTTTAATTTATTTCTGGTTCTATTCAATTCTATTTTGTACATTTTATTAAATGCATTTTTATTGCCAAAATCTATAGTTTGATATAATTGTTTCCATATAGAATTTCATAATTTGCTGTAGCCTACTGTTCATTGAAAAGCCTAAAAAGATGGCTATTTAATGGCAGGTTTTGATAAGGTTTTTGAGGCATGGGGGTTGTATGTCAGTTCAGTACAATTTATTTGCACAATTTATAGTGCTTTTCACAATACATTGTTTATAGCTTAACAAAGACAAGTGCCTTTAAAAAAACAGCAAACAAGGGACAGTGGTAATTTTAAATATTTTGTAGAGTTGTACTGTAGTGCCCTACAAAGAAACTAAGTTTCAAAAATAGACCTCAAAAAAGCTGGTGAGTTTTATATCACACTTTAGATCGCATATGTATGTGCCTGAGAGAAACCTCATGATAGTTCAGTTTAGCAAAACATTTCCTGCACTGGAAATTTACTGATCGTGCAAACCAAGACTAAAAATATTTTTTTTACGTTTTTAAACATGTTTTATTTTATTAATGCAAGATAACTTAAAATGGGGTTATCAGAGCTGTTTAAACCATGAACAAACAGATTAAAAAATATATGATTTCTTTCTTATGAGTTAGATTTTTAGAAATTTGTTCAAACATCTAAATGTAATTTAACACTGCAAAAATAATTAGTGCTAGATAGTACAGTATCTCTCTGCATGGACATTTTGTTTAAAATTCATGTGCTGGTTGTTTTCTGTGACAGGCAGATTTCTGAATATTGCACCGCCCATTAACATTTACTGTCTAGTTGTTTCTTCAAACTCTTCAGAGTGCATCATTGTATCTGAGGCACTGAAAAGAATCATCATGCCACTTAAACCTTTTAAAATCTTTATATTGATGTGTGGATTTTGTTCCCGATTCTATGCTATCGGTGAGTCTCACTTTAACCAATTGATCATCAAAAGGAAAAATATTCTGTCAAGATATTTTAACTCTTCTGTCTTTTGCTGTGTTTTAATTTATTTTATCCTATACAACATATACTAATTAGTAATTGATAAACTATAGAATGATTTAATAATGTTCAAACTATTTAAAATAATTTTAAACGTGATCATTTATACAGTACAGTAATCTGTAGGTTTCATAATCTCCATTGTAATCAAATTCAAATTAAATATCTATTTAAAGTTGTATATAACGGTTTAATTAAAAATGAAAAATGTTAGTCCAGAAATGTCACTCAAACACTCTCACGGGCACATAAATCTACTGGAGTTGAACATTACACGACAGCAGATACTTAAACATTCTGTGTGTCAACGTCAGTGATCAACAACCTGACAATCCAAAACAATATACACAGAAACAGTATATATCCTCTCTTTGTTCAAATGTTTTGAAAACACTGGTGAACACAAATTGTATTTGTGCAAAATCCTCAGCTGATGTACTAGCAAAATTTGTGGGTCTTGTCTTGCATGGTTTCTTATATGTAACTGTAATTGTTTTTCATTCTACAAAGCATATCCACCTATTCAAACTGCCCAAAAGGAAGGTTGGTTGATTTTCCATACAGCAAAAATATTTTAAAAGTAACAGTAAATGTAGTTATAAATGTAAGAAAGATATACAACATTTCTCACAATCGGTTCTAATACTCTTCCAAAGTTCTGCGTGGCGTTGATGTGTCTTTGCGATGCGAGGTCTCTTTCCTGTCTGAATCCTCAACATTGCAGTGGGAGAGAGATGGAGAACAAACATCAAACACCACTCTACTGTACAACAACTCTGCCTACATCATCTTACACACCGTTGATGAACACAATCAGGGCAAATATTACTGTAGATTGATGGAAGATGGAAGAGTAGCAACGGTTAGGATTCACACGCTTAATCTCAGTTCAAGTAAGTATATTTTATATTCAATCTGTGGTGTATGCCTGAATAATAATGATCTAAAATATTTGACATTAAGAATACTGTAAGTTAATTGAATACTTATATAGTTGTGGCCAGAAATATTGGCACCCCAATGGTAAATATGATAAAAGATGGCTGTAAAATAAATCTGCATTGTTTATCCTTTTGATCTTTCACAAAAAAATCTAACCTTTCATTGAAGTAAAAGAATTGAAAGTGGGGTGTAAATCACATTATGAAATAAATGCTTTTCTCTAAAACACGTTGGCCATAATTATTGGCCCCATTTTATTAAAGCTGCAGTCCGCAGTTTTTCCTCTTTGTCGCCATCTCTGTTCGAAATCTGCAATTGCCGTTATTCGCGGAATTATCAACTTTACGTGAGTCGTACTTCGACACGACACAGCGCGGATGAACACAATGTTTGAGGAGAGTGTGAGGCTGGCTGGATTCTGGCATTCAGAATCACAGATTATTCTTTTTGGAAGTATGACCAACATAAGGATTTTCACCGGAAAAAGTAACATCCACTTTTGTTCTGGTTCTGACATTGCAGTAAATCGCGCTGATTAAATCCAACAATCGCTTATCATATCACGCAAAACAAAGAAAATTATACTTTGTTCTCAAATTGTTAATGTTAACAACGTCAGCATTGCGTGACTACAGGTAATGTCCTTTCGATATGTAGCCTATCCTTGTTTTCGCATGGGCCGGTTGCAGTCTCTTTTTTTCTGTAGCCACTCCGAAGTCCGAACGAAGTCTTTTGCATTTTACAACGGGTGAGTCTCTAGTTGTCACTGGTGATCGTCGTTTGAACCTTTCTGGATCCGCCATCAAATTGATAAGTTTAATTATATCAAGTGCTGTGAGAAAAGGCTATAAATCTCCACCTCTAACATCCTCACTCGCAATATAGCCTACTAGCCGAGACTCCTTCTTTATGTGTACAGATGTGACGTAATGACGCAAAGACATGCTCGAATCTCCCGCGGAAATCCACCAGTACCACTGGAATTAAAAACATTATTACAAGCTTACCGCTTTGAATCGAGCTAAAGCAAGCAGATAGTTTTGAACACTGGCTGGTTATGTATTTTCTCAAAAATGTATTTTGGATAAATTTTAACCCGAAAAAAGCTACGGACTGCAGCTTTAAATACTTTTTGCAACCTCCTTTTGCCAAGATAACAGCTCTGAGTCTTCTCCTATAATGCCTGATGAGTTTGGAGAACACCTGACAAGAGATCAGAGACCATTCCTCCATACATAACCTCTCCAGATCCTTCAGATTCCCAGATCCATGTTGCTGCTTCTTCTCTTTAGTTCACCCCACTCATTTTCTATAGGGTTATGGGAATTTGGCCTTTGTGTTTCCTCATATTTATACTCCTGTGCAACAATAATGTCATGCTCCTAGCCAGTTTTGTGAATGAAAGATCAAAAGGATAAACAATGCAGATTTATTTTTACAGCATCTTTGATCATATTTACCAGGGGTGCCAATAATTCTGGCCACAACTGTAATTAACAATGTGCAAAAGTATTTATTTTTTATTTTTTTAAAGCTTAATTTCCAAAGACATGTTTAAAACAGACATTTATACTAACTGAGATGTATTCGCTGAAATTCACCATGTTACCTATTGTCTTTGCAGATTCATACAATGGAAATAATAAATTTAAATTTAATACCATTTACAGACACAGCTCTAATAATAGTGACGTATCACTGATCTGCAAGTCTAAAAAGGAATACAATAGCTGGAAGTGGACCTGGGAGCCGAGGCCTAATTCACAGACTGATCTGATAGCAGTTGAACAAGGAAGAGAAGTTCAAGTTAAAGGACCAATTAAACCAGGAAGACTTTCTTCAACCACATACAATAGTCAAGTTTTTATCTTTCACATCTCACCTGTGAACTTCAATTATAGTGGGACATACAGGTGTATTGCAAAAGATATAAATATTCCATATACAACCACAATGCTTCACACCATCAGAGGTTTGCAAATATCAATCAATCAATCAATCAATACAAATAAATACATTGATTTTTTCAGCTACATTTTGCTCATCAGTTCATTGTTCAGTGCATTTAAAAAGTAATTGATGTTGTTGTTGATTTCAGTCTCAGTAGAGCCCTCTGATGGTGTGTTGGGGAAAAGGTCAGTGATTCTCACCTGTGAAGTTTCTGAAGTGACTGATTCAGTGATGCTGGTCTGGCTCAGGATGGAGGGGAATAGAGGAGTGCTGGGAAAACAGCAAATTATGACTGAGAAAAACAACAAGTTACAACTCACAGTGAATCTGTCCAGCAATGAAACAGACCCGCTGCACTGGCAGTGTGCAGTTTTTACTGAGGATACACTCAGAGCTCTGGCTCCTATAACAATCAGTATTTCCTCATCATCAGGAACCTCTACTGTACCAAACCAAGGTAATAAATTAACCATTAATATACAGTACATTTCACCTTATCTCGGAAAAAAAAGTATATGCTCAAGATGTACAATGTACATGTTCATCTTCAAATGATCCTGGTAAAGAAAAGTCAACAAATTAATCTAATTAATAGAAATAAAGTCTCCATTTTCTTTTAGAATTCAACAGATATGCAAAGGCTACTGTATCATCTGTTTTGGTTCTGTGTGCGGGGATTCTGCTTGGAGCTATATTGTATTACCTTTACAGAAAGCGAATGTCAGGTAAAAAATCTGTGTGTCTGTATTTTCAGTATATGAGGGAATCACTCTTTCTTTCTTTCTTTCTTTTTTTTTTCTTTCTTTCTTTCTTTCTTTCTTTCTTTCTTTCTTTCTTTCTTTCTTTCTTTCTTTCTTTCTTTCTTTCTTTCTTTCTTTCTTTCTTTCTTTCTTTCTTTCTTTCTTTCTTTCTTTCTTTCAAAACTATAACTCTAGCTGTATTTGCAATTCTTTCAGTGCACTCGGACCCTCAGGAGTCTGAACCAGTCTATATCAACATCAGCCAAATGAGGAAAGACAGAGGTATTCAAATCGGCTAAATATATTTCATTTCATATAGCCTATCCAATAGCTGCAAGCTATGTTTACTATTTTACTGAAATAACTTAACATAAAAAATTCACAATTACAACAACACACTTTCCTCCCAAAAATGAAGGTCTAGTTTTCTTCTTCCTCCAGTAGAGCGCAGCAACACACTGGGAAACAGAGAAAAGAGTCCTGAAATGTATCGCCATGTAAGAAGAAACAGATATGGTAAGATCTTTTACATCCAAGAATTCCAAAATATCATCTCAAGTCAACATCATCTCATAAAGATATTTTTCTGCAGAAAAAACAAACATAAAATATAGCTGCGAGCAGCGATTACGGGCCCAAGCCGGTGGCACCGCAACCCCGGTGCCTTTAGTTACCTAAAGGCACCGGGGTGGCGGTACCACCGGCTTTGGCCCTTCATCGCTGCTCGCAGCTATATTTATATATATATATATATATATATATATATATATATAAAGCCGGTGGCACCGCCACCCTGGTGCCTTTAGGGTTATTGTGCACGACGTGCAAAAACGTAACCCTGCTTTGACTGTCGAAAAGAAGTGTGCTGTAGAGCTTGTATCAGTGTGGGCTCTGCAAAAGTGTGCATTGAGGGCACATATCAACCACAAAGTATGCGAGAGCAACCTTCTGAAAGGTCAGGTCTACATCCAGGTCTACATCTGCCGTGTGTTTACATCATAGTAGTGAAGTTTGAAGCAATCAGGTGATTTCAAAGCTTTTTGAAAGTGACAGACTTCCTGCTGCCAGTTGGTGGCGCTATAACCGGGGTGGCGGTGCCGTCGGCTTTGGCCCTTTCATCGCTGCTCGCAGCTATATTTATATATATACACACACAAACACACACACACATATATATATATATATATATATATATATATATATATATATATATATATATATATATATATGTATATATATATATATATATATATATAAATATATATATATTGTTTTTTTAAGAGACAAGACAGAATATTACTTGCCTGATCTGATTAGAAAAATAGTGTTTGTGTGTGTGTGTGTGTGTGTGTGTGTGTGTGTGTGTGTGTGTGTGTGTGTGTGTGTGTGTGTGTGTGTCTGTGTGGCGTAATTGAACAATGTAGACATAAAAACATACTCCGTCCTTTTGTTCATACAGGACATTATTCAAACTGCAAAGTGTTTACTTATATTTGTGTACAATCACAATAAAACACAACATTGTGCTTTTGTCAAGCTATAAACTCTTGTCAAACTGTAAACTACAACTGTCACCCAACCAAAATCTCTTACACACACACACACACACACAGTTTAAAAGCAAAAAATATCAATATTAAATATCAATATCAACATATTATACTTTCGCTTTCAAGTTAGTGTTTTTAAACCCCCCAGCGGGAGGTTATAGTTTATAGGTTTAGAGGTTATAAGGAAAAAATTTTAACTGAAATATAGCACATTCATTTAAAATTCATTCAGGTTCAATTACCAAACATACAAATCTTAATGTAATTTAAAGCAAACAATACATTTAAAATATATGGGTTGTATGCCTATTTTTTTTATATAAAAAGATATATATCCAAAAAGTAACAGACACAATCATACACACACACACACACACACACACACACACACACACACAAGTCAAATCACTTACATTTTATATGCAATATTGACTTTTTTCTGTTTCAGCAGTGAAACTAGTTAAACAAAGATCACAGCAGAACCATCGAGCATCTCACAGCAACGTGTTTTCTCATTACTGAATGATTCAGCATTTTGAACGAATCGGTTGACTCAAAGATTCAATGACCAATCCATAATCTGTCTCATTCATGAATGACTCAGCCGTTCGAACGAATGAATCAATGACTCGCTCATTAAGACGGTCGCCTGGCGACACCTAATGACGGCTTAGTGATATGTTTAAAAGTATCATTCTTTCAAACGATTGTTAATTAACTCATATTTGAAACATAAGCTATATATATATATATACACACATATATACACACAAAAATAAAATAAAAACACATTTGAAGCGTGTTTGCTTACTAAATTGTGAGCAGAACGAAAGTTGCAGCAAATATCAGCAACAGGAGTCAAATTTCATTAATCACGAGAGTGAAGAGCTGACTGAAAAGATGATGACGGAATAGGCTATTTTATGTAAAAGCGCCTATTTAAGCGAATCTATCATTGTACTCTTTTGTTGTTGTGTTTTCCGTGAAAAATAATAGACTATTGAACTCACAATTCAAGCAATTGGCCCCCGATATTGCACTAATTTTAAAGTGACACTAAAAAGTATGCGGCTGGACTGGCATTCATTACGGTGCGCGTCCATGGCGACGAGCGAGCAAAACAGAGCGAACGTTTTTTCATTTCTACTTCCATAGAAATTCATTCGAGCGCACTGTGAGCGCCACCACTATAAATGTCCTTACTTTACTTTCACTTTTAACTTAGCGATATAAAAGCCCCCGGTGTTACACGTCAAATAACCGGTGAGAAAAAATTCTCGGAGTCACATAGCAGCTACCTATATTTAAATACAACAGGCCTACCTGATTTTGAACACAAGAGGGCAGTATAGCCCTATGTATTATTTGATATATTTATTTTTTAACTGAATAGTGCATCCTGGCTGTTTTTAAACTTGTACATTATTCTTAAATTGAAAACAAGAATAAAATGGGTTTAGTTCTGATATTTGTATAATTTTATCTAGAAATAAATGGTGTATAATTAAATTTTTAGAAGATATGAGGCTTTTAGTGTTTATTTTTTTTTACATGACTTTAATCCCTCGCCATAGCAAAACAATTAGAGATATTCAATAGATATTCACAATTATGCTTCTTTAATGTATTTTCATCATGTTGAAAAAGTTTGGTGGGAATAAAATAAACCACTTAAGAGGAGTGGGTAAAAATGTAGAGCCTGGTTTTGCAAAACATCCACATTAAGACCAAAATAGCCCACTTCCTGTTGGGCTGGCTTAAAGTTGTTTGGCCCGATGAGATCTATATGTGTACAGAGTTTCATAATATTACATGCAAGTGTGTTTGATTTATGGACCAAATTTTCTGACCAAGTTAATTTAATTAATAAACTAATTATATAAAACTATTTTCAATGCACTACAATTCAACTGGTTATATGCCTTTACTTATTAATACAACTTATTTAAAAAATACAAGGCGTAAGACACTTTTTTTTCTTTTTTAATGCAGGCCAAACCACACAGCAGTCAAATGGTTAATCTAGCCCCCCTCCCCCTCCCCACACTCACAGACACACACACACACACACACATAGACGTAGGCTCAGAGAGAGAGAGACATAAAATGACAATTTTCAAACCAAAATATCTGACTTCCTGTTGGTTGGAGCTATTGAGTGTAAATTAGAAAGTTGTCTGGCTGGAGGAGAACAATACACATACCGATTTTTATTACTGTAGATAAAATCAATCCCCCCACTTTTGACAAAAGGTGGCGCTACTGAGCCCCTCACCACGCCCGTTTCTGAAACTCTGCACATGTCTACTGTCTAATAAATGTGATGTGTCTGTCGGGTTTCATGCAATTTCAAGTATGTTAAGAGTCTCAAAAGCATCAACAAAGAATAATAAAGTTTGATGCGTTGCCACGGCAACAGTATCTAAGATATCAATAATCCTTTCTCAGGTCTACATCTGCCGTGTGTCTACATTATACACATAAAGTTTGAAGCAAATTGGGTAAAAATAAGAGGGTGATTTCAAAGCCTTTAGGAAGTGACACACTTCCTGCTGCCAGTTGGTGGCGCTATAACTTTGACTCACAATAGTCACATCCATGTGATCGGACTCTTACAGCGAACACACTGCTGAAGTTTCATCAAGATCAGTTAATGTATGCAGAAGTTATAACACACTTCCTGTTTCCTTTATTCGCCATAAATTCGTTTCCTCGCCACGGCCAAACCGTTCGAGATATCAAAAATCCCCTGGCAACTTTTCATCCTCAATGTCTTGACTTCATGCTGACCGAGTTTCGTGGCGATTGGTTGAATTCTCTAGGAGGAGTATATCGAATTCCAGGGGCATACGCTTCCAAACAAACCATAATAGCCGACTTCCTGTTGGGCTGGGGTAAAAAGTAAAAGTACAAAGGATATATGAATCGATGAGATCTATATGTGTACCGAGTTTCATATTATTACATTCAAGCGTGTTTGATTTATGGACCAAGTTTTCGGACCCTGTTCCAGGGGGCGCTGTCGAGCCCCCCTGCCACGCCCGGGTACCAGCTTCAGCCCGGCCCTGATGGCCGCGGGTTCTGACCCGTGTGCAAAGTTTCAAGAGTTTTTGAGCATGTTAAGGGCCCCAAAAGTGCGCTGAGAGTCTCAAAAGTATCCAAAAAGAATATTAAAGTTTGATGCGTTGTCACGGCAACAGCATCTAAGATATCAACAATCCTTTCACAGGTCTACATCTGGCGTGTGTCTACATTATACACATCAAGTTTGAAGCAAATCGGGTAAAGCCTGTTTGATTTATGGACCAAGTTTTCGGACCCCGTTCCAGGGGGCGCTGTCGAGCCCCCCTGCCACGCCCGGGTACCAGCTTCAGCCCGGCCCTGATGGCCGCGGTTTCTGACCCGTGTGCAAAGTTTCAAGAGTTTTTGAGCATGTTAAGGGCCCCAAAAGTGCGCTAAGAATCTCAAAAGTATCCAAAAAGAATATTAAAGTTTGATGCGTTGTCACGGCAACAGCATCTAAGATATCAACAATCCTTTCACAGGTCTACATCTGGCTTGTGTCTACATTATACACATCAAGTTTGAAGCAAATAGGGTAAAGCGTGTTGGATATATGGACCAAATTGTCTGACCCGTTCAAGGGGGCGCTGTCGAGCCCCCCTGCCACGCCCGGGTACCAGCTTCAGCCTGGCCCTGATGGCCGCGGGTTTTGTCCCGTGTGCAAAGTTTCAAGAGTTTTCGAGCACGTTAAGAACCCCAAAAGTGCCCGAAAGCATAAAAAAGCATGAAAAAGCTTAAAAAAAGGAATATTAATGTTTGATGCATTGCCATGGCAACAGTATCTAAGATATCAATAATCCTTTCACAGGTCTACATCTGGCGTGTGTCTACATTATGCACATGAAGTTTGAAGCAAATCGGGTAAAAATAAGAGGGTGATTTAAAAGCATTTTGAAAGTGACACACTTCCTGCTGCCAGTTGGTGGCGCTATAACTTTGACTCACAATAGTCACATCCATGTGATCGGGCTCTTACAACGAACACACTGCTGAAGTTTCAT